CCCCCCCGCCAGCCCCGCCGCTTCCCCTCCTCTGTGGAGCTGTCCCCGCCGCGCGGCCGGCCCTACCTCCGCACACACACACACTGACACACGCACACTCGCACTGACACGCTCTCACACACACTCACGAAGACACCCGCTTCCCCCCACGCACGGCCATGCAGGGCTGGACTGCGCCGCGCTGCAAGGGAGCCCGGGGTGCCGCTGCCTTGGCAGCCGCATCTGCCGGAGCCATGCGAGAGCCTCCCGCGGCGGGGAGCTCGGGAGAGCGGAAGAGGCATTGTCTGTGAGCACTTCCATCATGCCGCTTCTTTAGAAATCGCCCCCCTCCCCAGACCCACTCCCTGAGGGGGGGAGCCCTCCCCACACGCACCTGCAGCTGCGGCAGCCCTCGGCACCCCCAGCCTCCCCCAGCCCCTCTCCTCCTACCTGTTGGTGCCGGAGAATCCCCACATGCCAGAGCTGCTCCTTCCCGCCGTCCGAGGGCTGCTGTATCCCGGCGGTCTCTTTTAGAACCTTTTTTATTTTCCTCTGCCGTCTTTCATTCTTCCTTCTCTCAATCCTTTCTTTTTTTTCCTTTTTTTTTTCTTCCCCCCCTTTTTTTTTTTTCCTCCCCCCTCGGTACCTCGACTGAGAATCCAGTCAGTGGCTCGGGCAGCGCATGCTCACTGCGCCTCCTCCCTGCGCGCCGAGCCCCGTCCTCCCCTGTCGCAGCGGCACAATCTTCTCCCAGTAAACGCAGCAGCGCCGGCCGCCTCAATGAGGGCAAGGCAAGCCTCCGCGGCGGCAAGGCAGGCTGCTGCCGCCTCAGTGCGGGCAAGGCAACCTCCGCGGCAGCAGCGGTCTCCTCAGTGGCGGGCGGGCAGCCTCAGCGGCAGCAGCACCAGCAGCCTCCTCGGTGAGGGGAAGGCAGCTTCGGCACCAGCGGCGGCAGCAGCGGCAGCAGCCGCCTCCTCAGTGAGGGGAAGGCAGCTTCCGCGGCAGCGCCTTCCCATTGCGATGCATAGCCGGGCTGGATTTATTGGCGAGCCCGGGCAAGCTAGCTTGAGGAAAGGCAGGGGGAGGAATTAGGTCCTGCGCTCCTTGTTTATGCCTTTGAACTCCCCCTCCCGCCCCTTTCGCTTAAAATGGGGGCTAGGAAGCGGCCGCCGCGGTGCGCGTCGCAGCCTGTCAGGAGAGGGACCGGGCGGGCGTTTTCTTCAGCTGCCGCTGCTGGGATCCTCCCGCTGGCGGCGGCTCGTTTCGTTTCCTCCCGACTCCCACCCGGTGAAGTCCTTCTTCCCAACCCCTGAGCCAGGGAGGGCTCCTTAAAAAAGAAAAAAGCACCGTGGTTCGCGGAGGGCGTATTTGCCGCGGGGCCGTCCGTTAGGGCAGCGCACCTTCCCCGCCGGGCTCCGCTGCCTCCCCCGCCTCG